CTTTTCTACGCTACTGGTAGGAAAAAAAACAAATGATAGTGTCTTGTGAGCTGTAACTTTTTTACTATTACAGCTACATATTTTAGTATTTTTTTTATGAAACAGATTAAAAGAGAGATTTTTGTGTAGTTTCTGTGATTTCCTTTTTGTAACTTCAGAGCCTCATAACTCCTACACCCCTTTGAATGATACATTTTTTTTTAAAGCAGATAAGGAGTACGCCTTTCCCAATTAAGTGGGGGAAAAAATCCTCCTTTTTTGAGGCTGAAAATTGCATGTTTTTGATGTGTATGCATGCCAATCTCATAAAGGGGGCCAACAGGTTATGGTTTTACAAGTAGTACTCATACATCAGAACTCATTTAATATCCCAAAGGAGATTGTTAGACTGCAGATTATACGTCTACACAAGACAAAAACAGAAAAACAGAATCACATACTATTTATGCACATCTGCATAAAAATGTGACAATAAGTGATTTTGGTGATAAGTGTGGTAAATATTGCACTTGAAAGATAGATATTGATAAGAAAATAGGTATTATGGTATATATTATTGCACGTGTACTGGATGATTTATTTACCAATTTGTAAAGTTTTATGGGCATCAGAAGAATGATTTCCATAGGCCAGGGCTGCCCAGTCCTGCTCCTGGAGAGCTACCACCCTGCAGAGCTTAGGTGCAGCCCTAATTTAACACACCTGATACAGATAATCAGGCCCTTCAGTTCATTTGGCTACAAGTGAAATATGCAGCGGTAAGGGTGAAGTTTATCATACTGAATATCCATTAATAACCTAATGTAAACATGTCAGTTATTATAAAGCTAAACGCAAACAACCTCTTAATAATAGTTCATGAAAACACTTTTTAAAAGACATTTGTAATCGTATTTTATTGCTGTGAACTCTACTAAGGGTGAACTGGAAACTTTACAGGGCCACATGAAATGTATGCGGTACATTGAAACTGCATCATCAGGATTGCATCATTGACCTAACAGTTCAGTGGTAGGTCACAGGCGGAAGGAATTCGGATGGGGGAAGAGATTTGGCATGACAGCTGTCATTAGCAATTAAAGCACAAACAATCAATAAAAGGCACAGTTGGCAGCATAGTGCAACATGGCATAAACACTCCGATGCATATTAAAACGTAATTGAACTGCAAAATTTCGTGGCATGAAATTTCATTATACCCCTAATTATTTCTATAATGCAGTGGTAAGTGTATCCCTGCCAGTTTTCTGAGACTAACATGAGTTTAGGGGATGGGGGGTTCGGTCCTGATCCCTTCCAGTTTTGAAACTAAACTCACACCCTTGCTGAAATGTGATCATGTACTATACAAAGAAAGGAATTTTATATGTCTTTCTTAACTTGGTAGTAGTTACCTGAACTTGCAATTTTACCAATTTTTGCAAATTTTACACAATAAGGTGCATAGAAATTTTGAGAAAAGCAAAAATCACAAAAAACTCTGAGAACTCGTAGGAACTAGTAATTGTACAGTTACCGTGTGGTAGAAAAAATATAAATCCCCTCTAATAACTCCAGTGAAGTCACACAGAATGAAACTCCGGACCTCTCAGTTGGTGAGCAAAGTTATCGCTTATATTCGAGCAATCCAGCAAAGCGCTCCCGTCACACTCTGGCACCAAGTACCAAGGACACAGAGCACAAAGAGCAACCAGTTAATAAACTCCCAATTCCCTATAAGGACTTCTAAGTCCTGATTTGTCCCAAAACACCAACAAACCAAGCTCAAACTTATAACAAACGCATTCTCTCGCTCTATTGGTTCACCTTGGCCGCAAGGTCAAATCCACCCATTTTGCTCAATTTACCAGAACATGTCTCGACTGCTAGGCTCCAACTTGAGATATGAATATAGATATTGATTATATTGACATTGAATCACTTTAAATATTTGGTTGATCTTTGATTAATGATGCACATATTGACGTATTGTCATTGAATCACTGTAAATACATGGTTAACCTTTGATTAATTTGATTGATGTAACAACTACTTATACATTTGTACTATCGTATAACATATCGCATATGACCTACTGCAACTACTTTATAACTAGAGCTCATGTGCACCAGTTGGGGCAGCTTCGAATCCCTTCCTGCAGGCAGTTTCTCCCCCCCCTTCTCTGCTGTCAGTCTCTCCAAGGTCTGATCTCTGTTCAGCGTCTGCAGAACTATCTGCATGCAGCTATCATGAAGCGAGGACACACAGTATTCAAAACAATCTCTTCTCGCCTAAGGCCTAAGACATAAGACCCAATATGCCTCCCCTCTCAGGCCTACCAATGTCCAATTTACTTTCCACAACAGGTCATAACAAAACACTCTATTTAAATAATCATTTTTTATTTTACATGCAGTGTAGAAAATGTTATATCCAGAAGGGAAAACATTTCTGAGCTCTGATGCCTTGTCCACACGTACACGGGTATTTTTTAAAACGTACCTTTTTCTATACGTCTTGGGCTTTTGTTTTTTTTCACCAAAATCAAAAATGGTGATGCAAAGGCCATTTGTTGAACTGGAATTGTTGAATTAAACATTAACACAGAAACTTTTGGTCTTAAGGTTTTTTTGTGGAGTAATACGTACTCGTATATTTTCCTTCCCTCTCATGTATGCAGTCGAAATTTGGTCAGCGTTGAGGCTACAGTCATCGAAAAAACTAAGTCTTGGCCAATGGTGCACATGCGGTTTTGGAAGCGTCACAGATACCAGAGGAAAAGAAGTATGTATTCTGTCATACTGTGTTCCTGCTTTTGATACCCATTTAAAGTAAAAGGCTGGTTAAAGTAAAAGGGTGTTGTGTGTGTGTACATTTCCTCTATGTGTCCTGTTATATGGGGTTTTTGTTTCTGACACCAGTTTAAAGTGGTGCAGTGTGTGCATATGTTAAGTATTCTATTGTATTTCTGTTGCTGACACTAATTTAAACTGTGTGTTACGGTATATAGTATGTCACCCATTTATCAACCCAAAAAGAACACAAAACTTAAAGCGCAGTACTGTGATTGTTTTGATATTTTTGGGAGCTTAAGTCCTATGTCTTGCTTTTGGATTACCAAAAGGCAGGGCTGTTGTGTTAGAGCAGGGATCTTCAAATCTGGACCTCGATTCCAAATCCAGGCCTTGTTTTGAGTTCTCCCAGGTAGTTAGTTTAATAATTACTGATTCTGATTAATCAGAGGCTTCACACCTGACTGACAGGTAAAGGAAGGCTGGAAAACCAGCAGTGCACGGCCCTTGAGGACCGTGATTTGAATAACCCTGTGTTAGAGCCTTGCTCTCGATTAGCTGTGATCTTAGGCCTTTTTGTCATTTGCTTTGTCTTTCAGTTATCGTGCAGCCTCAGACAGTGCTTCGGATCAACGCGATCAGAGTTGCCCCGGACCTGGCATAGACCCAACTCCACTCCCTGTGTACTGGTTCTGTAGCTGTCTTCCTGCCTGGGACACAGTTTCCATTACTGTAAATAAAGATGACAGTTTCCATTTGAAACTATGCAAGTTTTTTTCTTCTCATCAATTAAAGATAGAACTTCATTGTACTAAGCCTTGATTTAATGAGTGAACTGTGGCCTATGCGGTACTATAAGATCTAAAACCGCAAGACGTGTGCATTTTAATTTTTTGCTATATATTCCCCCATATGTAGTGCCTGGGTAGTGATCTGCTCTGCTTCAGTATGCAGGCGTGGTCTAGGCTGGGACTGTCCGTGGTGCTGAATTGACAACAAGCTCTCCTTCCTCTAACCTCTTCTGTTAGCCTACTTGCCTGCCCCCCTCCCCAACTTATTATATTTGTGTGGTTAATGTCCATGTGTTACTACCATTCAAAGATTACTGACCTGCTGTAACATTTCTGCCAATTACTTTATTACTGGCATCTATGATATCTTTATCCTTTTCCAGATAACTGTATGGTACCTTTACAGATTCTCCACATTAGTATAGGTAGGTCAAAAATGGAATTTATCATGCAACTTTCAGTACAGCCATAGGATGTACAAGCAAAAGTTTTTGTACGCTTGCCCAAATTAAAATGCTACTGACATGCAGGGCTTGTACAGGTTAACATTTTGAAAGTAAATCTACTGCTTGTGTAATGACAGCAGTTAAAGTACATTCCTAATAGAATAGATGGAAGAAAGAAGGTTTGAAGAAATTTCTGTATTTTAATTGTGCTGGAACAGGTGTAAAATGACTGACAATGGCTGTATCTGATTTCTGGTAATGACTGCTTTTCATCCAAATGTTTCATTTTTGTCCTTTTTCACATTTAAACCCATTTTGGTGATGCTACCTAATATGTATTTCATTATTATGTGTTATTAATAATACTATTTCACGGTTCGCAACTTTGGTCAGCTAGCTGGAGTGAGATTTTCAATTCAAGAGAAGTAACAGTCGTATTGCCTTGTCAATAGGGTTTCCAAACTATCACTACGTTTGTGATGTAGCTAATTTAATTTTAAAATGGAAAAAAAAATACATAATAGTATAGATTTGCCGTAAGATTTCCAACGTGAGCGTCTGGAACTGTGACTCGCCAGATGCGTGAGAGTTGGCAAGTCTGCTATTTACTGCAGTATAGTGCATTTTCACAGAAAGCGTTGCATCCGACTCATGACTGCATGGCATTGCATCAGAAGCGCTTTGAAGCCGGCCTTCCCTAAAAGGGGCTTCAACTAACATTGTTTAATTCAATTATCAACCTACCCATTAGTTGCTACCCATCCCGCCCGCATTTTACGGGACCGTCTCATATTGAAAAATAAAATGCGGTGTCCAATTTTGCCCCAATACGGCATGCATTTTGTGCCGTATATCTTCCAGACCGAAAAGTCCTTATTTTTTTTATTTCAGCGCCCCCCCTCCCTCCCTCCCAAGTTTACCGTCCAACCACACCCCTTCCCCGTGGTTGACAGCTACACCATCGTTCAAATTAGTACGGGGGCTCTGGAACCTCTTGTAGCCCTGGGACGACTGACAGTGTTAATGCGCCTCTGCATTAGTAGCAAGCTGGGCAAACCATTACATCAAAACGCGCTCTCCCTCCAGCACCCCCATATCCCACCCACATCCTTTCATACACTCGGACTCGCCGTGATTCCCTAGAAGTCGGAAGAGCGCCTCTGCACCAATTGCGACTTCGCGAACAGGAGGAGCCTGCCGATTGGACTATCGGTGCTCGAATGATCGCTGTGGAAGAGAACGGAGGCCGGCTTGCGTCAGCGAGATCGGAGCTCCGTGGACTTTGTCTCAGCTCTGATAGAGAGAATAGCCATATTGGCGGAGAATGGGAGTGTAAGGGAAGGGCATAGCAGGTGAGTCATCTCTACTGGGTAAGTGCTTTTTGGGAAAATGCATTTTTTTCACGACAGGATTGTTTGCAGGGCTGGATTGTTTTGGATATCACGTGAAGTGACATTTTAGTAACAATTTTAATGTTTTGAAGAAAAATAAATATAATTAGTTTGATAAGCATAGTCTGAGAAGTGGAATTAATTTATGCAAATGCTTAGAAACTGTTCTTATCCACAAAATACTTACTTTTGTGCAGCTTGCTATATTCGGTATCGGGTGTAACTCAAATGTATTTTTATTTCTTATTTCCTTGATATAGTGACACTATTAGTGTTTCCCCCATATATATATACAATACTATTTAGATAAACTGTTAAGAATTCTGTGCTATATATTGTAGATTCATGTGCTACATATATATATGCAAAGTGTGTCGCATTTTACCCTTGCCTGCAAATAATTTATTTCGTATGTATTTGATTCACTTAGCAGAGGAGTTAGCGGTAATAAATCAGTTTATCAATGATGGACATTTCTTATCTGTGCATTATGTACATCACGTATCCTCAGTTCACCACATGGGCGTCCATTGCGTTTCAGCTTTTATCAGTACTTTTTTTTTTATTGGATTTTACCGAGGCGTGCAGTGATTTGCATGCGTGTGGCGACATCCTTTGTGACCAATACTGTGTCTGGGAGGTTCCTCTGGCATTAAAGTACACATGGACTCGGTCCTTTGGCCTTGCAGCTGAGAAGACCGCACGGCTTGTGAGGAGAGAAGAGTGAGCAAGTGGGAAAAGCCATGGGTGGCGGAGGACAGCAGAAAGAGCCTGGTGCTAGCGGCGGCCGAGGCAGCAGCGGCGGTGGCGTGTACACATGGGAGGAGGTGCAGAAGCATTGCCACCGAACTGACAAATGGCTGGTCATCAACAGGAAAGTGTACAACATCACCGAGTGGGCCAAGAGGCACCCGGGAGGCATCCGGGTAATCAGCCACTATGCCGGCGAGGATGCCACGGTACCTATCAGAATTCACCTTATATCTACTATCTATATCTATATGCCTTATATTATGTTGTATTATACCTATCGATTCATCCTTTTATATTTGTTTTGCATATTAATTCATATACATAAGTTCCATCCATATATTGCATTAATTTAATTTACTTGCATAGTGATTAAGACAAAAATACATAGAATATAACGTAAGAGACAGACAGTAGTCTGGCCCATCAGCAGAATAAACCAGCATTGCCCTGATACTTGGTGAAGGCTTATGCTGCACGTTAGTGGCATTTAATTTGTAATATGTAACATCTGGGCCAAACCTGTACATAAGTCTGTCTTTTTAGTTTCAGACATCTAGTTTGGTGCAACATTATATCCAAACTGTAAATCTTGCTGCCTATAGACATCTCATCAGCCTAAGTATTAAACAAATTTTTCTGTTAAAAACTTCAATGTTATCATTTCATGATATTTAGGCCTGCAAATAGTGTTGTTTGGGATAAAACTTGTACTGACGACTGTTAAAAAATTAGTCTTTTTTCCTATATGTCTGCCCTAGATAAAACAAAATATAAAGGCAATATTACGAGTAGGGCGCTTTTCCACTGCACCAGGTACTGTACTTCTCGAAGTACCAAAAGTACGGTATTTCAAGGTGTTGGTTTTCCGCTGGTGTAAGAATTGGTACTGGCGCTGAATTACATCACACAAATTCTGTCTTTGAATTCGAAAAATCACTGTAGTATATTATAGGGCTTGATGATGTGCAATATTAATTAATTAATTAACATTGCATGTTACACAAATGCAGTTCTAACATCTCTAGTATGCTAGATTCATATCAGGCTTTTTGCTTTCAGTTCTGTATGGACATTATAATGCAGGCGGTTAAAATTTGCTAAAATATTTTTACTTTGTTACTCTCATAGGAAAAAAAATTAGCAAGCTTTGCAATTTTAGTTAGGCCTATTTGTTTTTTAGATTATCTAATGTATGTTTAAAACGCAGTTTAAAGTTTACTTCCACTGCTTTCTCATGAGCACTGCATGCTTTCTCTGAGAGAGTCATAATGATTTTGATCCTTGCCGTTTACGGGTTTGTGAGATATTTATACCCTAGTATTTATTACATACCCTAGGATATATGCATGCTGTCCTAGTATATTACACAAAATACTTTTTTACTTTCTTGTCATGCCATCCTGATCTTTGTCTAGTATCTTGTTCTTCCGACCAGATCACAATATTTTTTTTTAACTTTATCATTGTTTTCTGATGGTATGTCCGCACATATAGATTTTCGTTAAGTAACACGAAAAATTTCTTCTGATTTAGCCTTCCCTCCGCAATTCCACAAATCTTTTTTTGCCAGAAGCATAGATAATTTTCAATGCTGTCTGACAACTAATCTTTCTGCAAACACATTAGTGTGGATACAGGACTTTCACTACCTGGCAAATGTTCTTTTGCTTATTTGTGGGCAGCTAAATTGTGTTTTCTGTACACTGTATGCTGTTTACAAGCAAAGAAAACTAAGAATTTAACAATCGCTGCTTATTGCAGAAAAATTAGAGGAAGACAAGGGTGCAGTGAAACGGAGGGGAAGAGACTGAGACATGTAGTGACTAAATTTATGGATCCCTGTGTTGTTGCTGTGATGGTTCCTTTCATGTACAGCTTTGTGCTTGCGACACTAAAGTACTGTCATTTCGTTTTTTGCTAAATAAAATACATGCATTTACTTTAATCACATGGTTGTGTGTGAGATTAATCAACAGTCAAGCGTTTATAAAAACTGAACTTATTATTAATCAAGATTCAAAATAGATACTTAGCCGCTTCTAGAATTAAAAAAAAATTTTGGTTGGACAAAGAAATGTGCAAGTGACACGTTGTGCTCAAGCTACAACAAATAAAATATAAAGTGCGCCACTTCTAAAAATATATTATAAAATGCTTTGGTTAAATGTGCAAATGAAAAAATATCAGAAATATATACATTGACAACCAGTCTTACATACAATATATACAGTTACACAAATGCTAAAGATGGTTGTGTCTTCGCAAGCTAAGTCATCTGCCTTTTACATGGAGCAGTATGAACGCAGAAGTTTTTGTCAATGCTAGTGATAATGGTAGTGCGGATGCAGATCTTCTCTTTCAGAAACTGCTGTAAAAGAAATTTAACACATTCATGTGGATGTAGCTCAGTTCGCAACTATTGTCAAGACAGCATTTGCATTTTAATAAGGAGGCTATTTGCATAACCACTCGACAAAGAAAGCATTTCAAGTCCCAACCTAGAGTACCAAAGAAGTACCCCAGCTGGTTTAGCACTTTTGGTACTCAAACTTTTGGTACTGTTACTTGACCGGAATTCAATGGAAAAGCAAAAGTACCGTACCAAAGCTACGGTACTTAGTGCAATGGAAAAGCGCCCTTATTTGCTATTATTATGGCAGATATTTTATTAATTTGTATGACTGAATAATGATTCCCTAACACAGGAACAAGTTGTGTGGCATATTCTTTTGATGTCTTGTAAATATACACTACCCAGCAAAAAAAAAAACAGTCACCATTTGAATGTAAATCAACAAAAACTCTGACTGTGACTCTTTAGGCTCAACTGCTTGGTTGGAACTAAATCATAGTCTGGATGTTTACTTTCTGGACCTGAAATTTCCATCTCTGGGCATGGGCATATTCCAGGATGAGAATTCCAAGATTCATAGGGCTTGAGTAGTGAAAGAGTAGCGCAGGAGCATGAGAAATCATTTTCACACAGGGTCTTTGCCTTTACCCCATTAAAAGTATTTGGGATAAGTTGAAGAAGACTTTGTGAAGTGGTTCAACTCACTTGTTGTCAAGATCTTGGCGAGAAATCATGGCAAGAATGCAGATCTGGATGAAAATAAATGAGATGTTGCATAAGCTTGTGGAAACAATGCCATGACAAATGTTTGCCATAATCAAAGCTAAAGGCAGTCCAACAAAATATTAAAGCGTGCAACTCTTTTTTTTTTTTTTTTGCTGGGCAGTGTAAACAGGCCTATGACTAAAATGCATGGTATTTCTCTTGGATACTAAAAATTAATAGGATATAAGAGTTTGTTTGCACATGGCCTAAAGTGCTTTTTGCAACGGGATATATCCTGCATATTTCCCTAAAGTGTTTTATACGATTCTGAAGTAATGCAAAGTTAAAGTAATTTTCTGTGTTTCCCTGGCATGCATTTTTTTTTTGCTGTTTTCAGGAAGTTATTTTAACACGAGCATTAAACAATAACCCCTTTTTAGGATGCATTTGATGCATTCCACCCAGAGCCAGACTTTGTTCGCAAGTTTCTGAAGCCGCTGCTGATAGGGGAACTGTCCCCGTCGGAGCCCAGTCAGGATCACCCGAAAAATGTGAGCTTTGCTGTTTGCACTTCTCCATTAAACACTGGGGTTGTTTCATTAATACACATTTGCCAAATACTGTCACTGCAACACATCTTAAACAATTGGCCATTATGTTGTTGGTGCTTGAAAGCTTTTTTCTGTGTTCTTTTCAGAATAATTTTAAATCTAAACTTTCAAATTATCATATTCCAATTAAACCTAAGGGAGCACCAAGTTTCTTTAGCATTAAGACAACAGTAACATTGAGGAGGTGTGTTAATTACCATAGGTTTGCCAGGGTACCAAACACAGGGTTTGGCTGGTCAGCTTAATTCCTCCTCACGATTACATAATAGGGTCTGTGTGATGCCCATTAATGTGACTATGTGAATCTGGGCCATGTGTCCTTGTTAATGTGTTTAATGCTGATTTTTTAACAAAACAGAACACATTTCAGTTAGTAGATTTCATGCTGTTCCCTTTCTTTTTAAGGGGAATGAATACATATATTAATGAGTCAGACTATTTGTCGTAGTAACTACATGTAATTACTCATATGACATAAATGCAAGATTTTGGCAGGTCTTTTTAGTTAGTCATATTTGCGAGTAGTAACCATCACCTATATCGTAATAAATATAGATCAATCTCTTTCTCTCTCTCTCTTTCTCTCTCTCTCTCTTCCCCCCAATTTTTCTGTTGTCATCACTCCTCTTCTTCCAAATGGATCCTTACTAATGTGCTGTTATCACCCCTTCCTCTTCTCTTCCCTTCCTCTTCTCTTCCCTTCCTCCACCTGCAGGAAGTGATTGTGCAGGATTTCCGGGACCTGCGTGACCGTGTGGAGAAAGAGGGCCTCTTTCATACAGACCCACTCTTCTTCTCTCTCCACCTTGGACATATCTTACTTCTTGAGGTCCTTGCTCTGCTGGTGCTGAGGACCTGGGGCACAGGATGGATGCAAACCATTGCCTGTGTGGTGATCTTGACCATTTGCCAGGTAGCCTGACTGTGATGTGCAGAAACCAGTGGGTTTGTGTTGGCGTCCTCTTCAGTGGAGAAGCATGTTATGAACTTATAGTCCTCTTAGAGCTTAAGTAACTATCATCAGAATACCCAGAAAAGGAAACACTTATGTCTCAGATGCATGGGTGGGAACAGTGCAATACTGGACAAACAGCAATACAATAAAAGACAAGACAATGCAAGATAACACAATGCAACATAAAAACAAGTGGAAAATAAATAAGCAATAAGAAGTGATGCAAGGATGTGAATAATACCAAAAGAAGTATACAAACTAGATTGACTTTGCTGTAGTTCCCTCAGGTTATGCTTTAGTGAAAGTTGATTGTCATTATGTAGCATTTGCTGTCATTTTCTGTTCTAGTCCCAAGCTGGGTGGCTTCAGCATGACTTCGGCCACCTGTCTGTCTTCAAAAAGTCACGTTGGAATCACCTGCTTCACAAGTTTGTCATTGGACATCTAAAGGTGTGGAAAAAGATTGTATGGGGTTCCTGTCTGTTTTCCTCTCCACTGTCAACCTGAGCTTAATAACAAGATTTTTGGTCCAAAGTCCAAATGGAAACTCTCACTGGGTCTCTCTGTCTGTCCACCTCAGGGTGCATCTGGCAACTGGTGGAACCACCGTCATTTCCAGCATCACGCCAAGCCCAACATCTTCAGCAAGGATCCAGACGTAAACATGCTGCACACATTAGTGCTGGGGAAGACACAGCCAGTCGAGGTCCCGCTTCACTGTTATACTGATGACCTGCCACTTAACGTTTTGTCTTGCAGGAGTAGAATAATGTTACAGGGTAATATGATCACGGGTGTAATAAAGCCCAGGTAACAAATACTTTCGCCAGGGGCGAATTACAAAACAAACGCCCATTAACATAACAAATGAAAACAACAGCACAAAGAAACGATAAGCAGTTCCTGTTTCCAGTTTGAACTCCGTTGTTCCATAAAGTATCCTCTGCTCACTGGTTTTACCAGATCACCTGACAGAAAAATGATCTGGGCCTGTACTTTCTCAGAGCTTCACGCCATGCTCACAATGGCACAGTAATCTGATTAAGTGAACTCACTAAAACTGAAAGATATTTGCCTGTTTCGGTGACCAGCTTTGGTTTGTCTTTTTCAGTATGGGATAAAGAAGCTGAAATATTTGCCTTACAATCATCAGCACCAATACTTTTTCTTCAGTGAGTCTCTCTTATTTTCTTTAATTTGATCAAACTGCCCGGGATTCAGTTTTGTGCAGAAATAAAAAATTTAGTCAAACACATTATGAGTGAAATTGTTATGCATAATGAGTGTAACAGGGAACAACAACAACAATAATAATAATAATACTAATAATTAATAATGAGAATAATCCTTCCCCCGCTTTTAGTTGGACCGCCGTTGCTCATCCCTGTGTATTTCAACATTCAGATCATGTATACCATGCTGTCTCGCCGTGATTGGGTGGTAAGTTGACCTGCCTGGTATTACGAGGGTAACGATAATATGTGCTGCTGCTGTTAGTGCATTAAGACCTGCAGGAGTTGGAAATGATGTCCCTGACATTTCTGACACCTTCTCTCACCTCTGTAGGACCTCGCTTGGGCCCTAACTTACTACTTGCGATACTTTTACTGCTATGTTCCCTATTACGGATTCCTTGGTTCCATAGCACTTGTCACGTTTGTAAGGTAATATGTTTTACACTCTTATGCTTGTGATTTTAATGTTTACTTCATATTTTACTCACTGACACAATTATGTGACTGTAGTTCATTTTTTAAACATTCTCATATATAACATGGGGACTTGCACAGCTTAGCATTTTTTGAGTTGTCTGGGGCCTCATTTATCACAGTTTTGTACACACAAAAAGATGCCCAACGTGTATGTAGCTTTTTATTCCAAATCCCAGATTTATCAAACAAAACTTGATGAAGAAGTATGTGTATATTTACGGAAACTCAGGAGGAGGTGAATGCAACATTTTGGAAAATTCGGGAAAAGGTGTCACCCATTGTAAAGCAGGGAACTGCAAGCAGTCCAGCAAAATGTCCACGTGCGTGTGAACATTTCATACCACAAACCTGCGCCTTCACTTGAAAAACAGTAAATCTAAAATTTGTGAACTGGTTTGTACTTTATTTCATTATTTTATTCATTTAATTTATTTTGTACTTCTGGGATTGCATTTATTTGTGTAAGCCAAGTACTATGTATTTGTTTTTGATTATTTGATTTGTATCAAGTCTGTTTCCTTACCTCTTCCCATGAACTGTTGAAAGGAATGAGATTTTATGGAACACCAAGATTATTTTTGTTTTTTCTTGTTTACCACTGTGTGTAATGTCTTTGCATTTTGTCCGTTTGACATTAAATGTATGTTTCTCTATGCTTTGGGTGAACAGACAAACGTAAAAACCACATTTGAAGTAATGTCCAGTTTTTCCAAATGTAATCGGGGCAATCGACTGAACTGTCAATGCAATAAGGGCACTGCATATAAAAATGTATCAAATACATAACAGTACAGGTTACAGCAGTAGATGCCGACAATGAAATGAGTGCTAATTAAGCAACTTTTTCAATCAAAAGCCATTTCATTCTATTACAATTCACCTGTGATGTTGAAATGACATTGACATATATTAGCATGCTAGTCTGGATCAGCTTATGATTCCTTCATTTTTCGTTTCACATACCTGACTGCTCTGGCACAACACAGCATAATATGGCATCCCCTATTGTAGATGCCATATCCATGTTGAGTTTGAGGGTGAAAATTTGAGTTTATCCCTGATAGTAATAACCACACTGCCCCTGTGCATGGCAAGTTGTCTCTTTCTCTTCAGATTCAGTCACTTTTTTGGAGGGCCGATGATATTTACTGCCGCGACGACGTGTTGCTATTCAACACGCTTCCAAGTTTCGACTTTATCACGGCACAAAGTAGAAGTGCTCTAACAACAAAATGCAGTTTGGCAGCTAATCCAAAAGTACTAGCAGCGATATAATATATATATACATATGTGATTAAAAAAAAAATCATTAGCAAATTTACGTCTATACATTTTCTTTGTGAAAAATATGCTTAGGCCCCCAAACGTAACATTTTGTAGTGTCTTCTACTTTGCGTTGTTCAAAATTCCTCTTATTTGCTTTATTTACAGCTGCTGTCATCTGACTTTGCAACCAGAAAGACTTGATTTTTATACTATATGACTCATTTGCATTGACCATCTATGGTTATTTGGGGGCAGTAGGCAGGCAGGATCTCAAGCTCGAGCACATATGCACATTTACAAGATACTTCCCACATTTCCGAGGGGAAATGTGTATATGCCAGGTTTTATAAATCCAGATTTTTTTCCTGTGTACACATTTTTTTTTCCCATGATGAAATTTACGCAAAGTTCGATAAATGAGGCCCCTGGTTTTTATTCTGATTGAAATTTGGGCAAATGCATAAACAAGTCAGTCTGCAGCAATCTAAAGTGTGTTCTCATCTGGTACAGGTTTCTGGAGAGTCACTGGTTTGTGTGGGTCACACAAATGAACCACCTTCCTATGAACATTGATTATGAGAAGAACCAGGACTGGCTGACCATGCAAGTATGTGTCACTTCCTGTTAGTTTGCATATCCTCATGCAGTTGACACGGTTGGTTAGGCAGCCAAAAATTAATCTTGAACATTACTCATTGAATCATAAAAATATAATTAGGGTGCAGACTGAAAGAGCACATTTTTTGTGATAGGGCTGGGTTCATAAGAACATAAGAAATTTACAAACGTTTGGGGAGAACTTAACTAATAGGTCAGAGTTGTTAAAATCTTATCTAGCTCTGATTTAAAAGGAACCCAGGGTTTTAGCTTCCGCTACACTAGCAGGAAGACTATTCCATATTCTAACTACACGCTGTGTAAAGAAGTGCTTCCTCAAATTTGTTTTAAAATGTTCTCCCGTTAATTTCCACTTATGGCCACACGTTCTAGTATTTAAACTAATATTGAAGTGGCCATTTGGCTGAACAGCATCCAGACCTGTTAGAATCTTATAGACCTGGATCATGTCCCCCCTTAGTCTCCTTTGTTCAGATAAAGCTTTGGAAATACAGCAAACCAGAGAAGCTTCCCCCATTTTCCTGTTATTTTCCCCTTTTCAGCTTATCTCCACCTGTAACATCGAACAGTCCGCCTTCAACGACTGGTTTAGCGGGCACCTTAACTTCCAGATTGAACATCAGTAAGTCTCCCACCCAGCATAACACATTAATTGTGTAATTTTATCCTGATATATTCCTAGTGCCACAAACTCATGCGCATGTACGGCTCCATTTTCTGCCTCAGTCTGTTTCCCACAATGCCCCGGCATAACTATTGGCGCGCTGCTCCAATGGTGCGTGCCGTGTGCGAGAAGCACGGCGTTCCATACCAGGTCAAGTCCCTGTGGCAGGGTTGCGCTGACGTCGTGAGGTAGGTGGCACTGCGGAGTCACATGTGTGCCCATCATCCCACTATTCCGCACTTTCGGATACCCGTTTGCCATAAAAACTCTTTCCTCTTTGGTTTTCTCAGCTCTCTGAAGATGTCTGGTGAATTATGGCTGGATGCCTACCTCAACAAGTGAGCCCAGAGGCTATTGGTGGGACATTATTGGACTTTTTTTTCAGGAAGAAAGATTCCATTCATGAAAGTGACTTTATAAAGTGTAACAACATCCTAATTTTGTTAATATGATTGATCTTTTGTATCTAACAACTGTAGTTTTTTGTCTGATTTTGTTTGTGGTTGGAAACAATGTAAGGGTCCGCTGACACTTGTAGATGTCTCTAATTCTCTGACAATCTTCATAAAGCTAGTGGAAGTTGAAGTAAAAATGACTTCCCTGCAACATTAGGACCTCAATTAAGACCTCAATTAGTTTCCTCACTAGATGAAGGTGCCATGGACATAAACTAATCTGACTGGTTAATGCAGATCAAGCCCCTTCAGGCCCATTTTTTTGCTGTAGTTGGCCTATTTCAGGTCATTTTCTCTGTATAACTGTGAGGACAGATTCAAAATGTCACTATACTTTTTAAAAGAATCAACAATTAAAAAATTAATCAATGGATTTGGATGTCTGAGGGGAAACGTCATTTTTAAGGATGTTGATGTGAGTAGTAAAGAAAAAACAAGTACATTGCAGAGGTGTTATACGGCTCTAACAGATAATGAACCTAGAACACGCGTGGTATAGCGAGACACACACACACACACACACACACACACACACACAGAGGAAGAGCGAGGACTCCAAGGTGCCACACAAATAGAATGTGAAAATGGACACTTTAGATGCACAGATGGGGCCAGATTCGAGTCTCCTACCCTGGAAATCCGACGCAAGTTTGAGGGTGAAAGTTTGAGTTTATCCCTGATTAGTAATAACCACACTGCCCCTGTGCATGGCAAGTTGTTTCTTTCTCTTCAGATTCAGTCACTTTTTTGGAGGGCTGATGGTATTTACTGCAGCGACGATGTGTTGCTATTCAACACACTTTCAACTGTCACCCATGGCCGCATCCTTTGTATTGTGAGACTTTTTAATGTGCGTGGATGAAGTGGTCTTTAATATTCAGCATGGGTCAAACCTGCACACCGCCACACTCTGTTCATTAAGCATTTTATTGGACACTTCAAAGCTTTTAAGACCATAATAAATGATAAAACTTTTTCATGTTCCCATGGTGCATCTTTCTGTTAGTCTTCTTATTCCTATTCAGATGAACAGTAAGGAAAATCTTCCATATTTACAACAGACTATCAGTCAAAATGCAACTCAACCAGTACATCAGGGGCCTGCAACACAAAACTAGTTTAAGAAACTCTGGGTTAGAACATAAATTTCGGCTTAACCGGACCAAGCAAATGCAATCTGAGATCTCACACCGATGACTATGGGCAATCTATGTCGATTTTCTTACTGAAACCATAATTAACTCAAGAATGCGTACACATAAAAGCAAGCCTTGTGCAATTATCAGCCGATTACGTAAGTATGTATCACAGCAGGGCTACATACACTCACTGGCCATTATATTAAGTATACTTTACTAGTACTGGGTTGGACTCCCCTTTGCCTTCAGAACTGCCTTAATTCTTTGTGGTATAGATTCAACAAGGTGCTTAAAGCATTCATCAGAGACTTTAGTCCATGTTAACATGATAGCATCACGTAGTTGCTGCAGATTTGTCAGCTGCACCTTCATGATACGAATCTCCCATTCCATCACATCCCATAGGTGCTGACTGTGGAGGCCATTTGAGTACAGTGAACTCATTGTCATATTCAAGAAACTAGTCTGAGATGAGCTTTGTGGCATGGTGTGTTATTTATAGACCGTAGCGTGAGGGGTGTCCCAGAGCCTGGGGATCATCCTTTTGAGTCTGTCATTCTGTTACGGCGTGGCTTAATGCAGGTTGGAAAAAAGGGTGACAATCCATTAAGCGGCTCCAAGATAATATGGGTTTATTGAACAAACAGAACACGCTGGGGAAAAATACCAAAACAAAAGGACTGTGAGGCATCAAAACAAACAGGAAACCAGACTAAACTAAAGACATAACTAAAAGAACCATAAATAGAGCTACAAATTTAACTGGGCAACACAAGGGAACAACTAGGGAAAAAAAATATGCAGAGTAACATAAGCACAAATATGCTGAAACATCTATAATGACAAACTACAGAACAGAGTGGGGCAAGCACTTAAATACACAAAGACAACCAGACTAATAAGGAAGCAGGTGTGGAACATGACCAATTGATAAATCAACTGAGACATGGGGCAACATTCTACGGGTGGAGTTAACTAACACTAACAAGTGCTGAGCTAAACAGACACCAAAACTAGGAAGCATAAACAACACACTAGGGATACAAGAATTAAAGCAGAACCAGAACAGAACACAAGCAGGGCAAACCTAGGACAAGAAACGTAAGACAGAAATTAACAAATACTGGGGAACAAAAATCCAATAAATAGATGAGGCTGGCCTCTAGTGAACCTCAAACCCTTGATCAGAAAGTTCAGTCTCTAAGCCACACACTCCACCCATAGAGCTATGCAGCAGTCCAGGGAGCAAGGAAAACACTAGGGCTAAAAGACAGGGAGGGGAAAAAGCGGGATTGCCAGTGACACCTGCTGGCCAACTGGGAAAGAGATACCAAGGGCAAGGTTGGACGCTCATTGAAGCAAATATCTAATCTGTCAATCAAATGTCATCAACACAATGTAGAAAATCATGCAGAAACAGATCAGGGGCTTCAGTGCTGTTTACAGTGGGGATGGAGAACTGTTGACCTCAACTGGGGATATAGTCAGGCAGTGGAAGGAATAGTTTGAGGATCTCCTGAACTCTACTGATGCACCTTTCTTGGAGGAAGTAGAGCTGGAGGACTCAGAGGGGAACTTGCCCATCTCAACGGCTGAGGTCACTGAAGTAGTCAAAAAACTGTTTGGTGGTAAGGCTCCGGGGGTGGATGAGATTCCCCCTAAGTTCTTGAAGGCTCTTGATGTTGTTGAGCTGTCTTGGCTGACATGGCTCTTCAACTTTACGTGGACGTTAGGGATATTACCTTTGGATCGGCAGACTGGGGTGGTGATCCCAATTTTTTAAAAAGCCTCCCTGGGAAGGTCTATGCCAGGGTACTAGAGAGGAGGGTCCGTCTGTTGGTCGATCCTCTAATCCCGGAGGAACAATGCTGATTCCATCCTGGCCGCAGAACACTAGACCAGCTCTTGACTCTCACAAGGACACTGGAGGGTTCATAGGAGTATGCCAAACCAGTCTACATGTTTTTTGTGGACTAAGAAAAGCATATGATCATGTCCCTCAGGGGGTCCTGTGGGGGGTGCTTCAGGTGTATGGGGTATGGGGTCCGTTGTTGCAGGCCATCAGGTGCCAGGCCAAGGGGGGGGAGGCAACTCCATATTGATGCCTTTGGAATTACAATGGGATGACATAAAAGTTCCTGTAGGTGTAATGGCCAAATGTCCCAATACTTTTCATGTACATTCAGCCTTCTCTCCACAAAATGCATGGTGCTGACATCAGTTTTGTGCATAAAGTGAATCATTCCTTTTGATTTCTGTTTACGAAAGAAAGTGACGTCTTCATGCTTTCATGGACAAAATGTAACTGGGTTTGTCTTTCTGTGGACAAAATGTGGCAAGGCGGTACTTGATTTCGTCAATGAATAATCCTTCACGTGAAACAGAATGCATTTTTGTGCATGAAAATGAGCACTTGACACTTGGCACTCCATCTTCTATTGTTTTTGACATCTGAAAAAAAGACAAGCAGGAAGTTTAAGTTGAGCAGTTCAGGTTTAGGTGGATTTCAGAAATTCCACTTGGCATTGTTCATACTTAGGTATGACAAATGATCTCTGTTGGCTGTACGCAGTGGGTGAGCGGAGAAAAAAGTGGGAGTGGTATGTGTTTCTGATGGTTGTGCTCTGATCAGAAGGTTGTCAGTTCAAATCCCATGCTTGACAAGCACGATTTCATTGTTGGGTTCCTGACCAAGCCCTAAATTGTTTTAGGGACTGTCTGACCCTGATTTCTCAATTGTATGTTATTTTATATAAAAGCACATAATAAATAAATATGAAAATGAGAACATTCAATCAGGCACAGAAGAATTTATAACCAATATGGCCACCTCTGAGCATTCATGCGGATACTGCAGAACATCAACACAGTGGCTGAGAAATGCACACACCCTCAAATGAAATTAAATACACCATAAAAATAAAGAGATCCCCATAAAATTATTATACAAGTGATATTATACACTTATGCCCTTCCCATATCATACAAATGCCATGTTTTTCCCTCACTGGTTAGTCACGTTCTGCCTCTTTCATTGTATACCAAAATTGCCTGACACCTCCCTTAAGCATTCCAGCTATAAAAAGAAAGAGGGAAGAATGTTATTGTTTTTTTTTTTATTATTTTAAAAAAGGAGCCCTAATGGAACACAACATTGTTAGCAGCAGTACGACTCAACTCTCATAGATTGCACTCATCTTGGGCTTTTCCAGGTAGGATAAATATATAATACAATGTCATAATATCACAACAGGAAATGGTGCTGATAAAGTCATTATCATGGCATTAGTACAGATAATACCTCTGTGATGTTTTATCGCTAGATGCTGATAAATACTCATGGATTCGTTTAATTTATTTATGTAAAATGAGCAAGAACGTCATGCTCGAACACTAAAAACAATACATTTAATATCAATGTGCCAGATCCATCCGGCCATCTTCCTAGCAGGTTCTGTAAAAAGATGTGGTTCTGCTTCCACATGTGAACACTTTTTTTAATTTTCTTGACTAGTGTGAGTGTGTCTTGTTTAGTGAAGAAATTCCTAGTTATGGTTGTTTGATTGATAATATTTATTTAGAATATTAAAAATTCTGTACTAGTAATGCTCAGGGGCATTGGAACTGGGGGAACTGGGGGACGGGAACCCCCAATATTTAATTTGCAGAGGTGGACTGACAACAAAAAGGCAAGTCCAAGAATTTGCCGCCAACTGGGGGGTTCCCCTTGGTATATTTTGCCGATTACAATCAACCAGTTGGCCACCAATGAACTACAGCATTACCTATTAATCATCTCCTGCGATTGACCGATGGGTTGGGCACCCCTGGTATATAGATTATATAATGCCAGGGTTGGGGAAGAAAGATCTGCCTACTTCGCAATGGTTAGTCTGCACCTGGATCTTTGTATTTAACTCATTAAATTTATCCCCCCCCCCAATATCAAACCCTCTCCTATGCCCTTGGTGACAAGGATTAAGATGAGCAACAGAAATATATTCCTCTTTGCGTTGGGTTAGTGTGCAAACTACAAGAACTAAGACTATATTATATTCCTATTTACAGTTCTATGTTTACTGCACATAAATGAACAGATGTCAATCTATTATCAAAAATAATTGTACTTATTCGTATTAGATTAATTTTCTTATTTATCGATTAAGCAAACAGGGATATGAAGTGTTAGACCTGTTTTAGGAATGATAGGCTGCATTCCTCACACTGCAGAATGCCTTGAGCAGCACTAGCTATTAATATTGCCATTTCACCATATATGAATAAGCAGAGAGACAAAATGGTGAAGCTGGGGCTGTGGGTTTGGTAGGGTTTACAAACATGTCCTTGTCACTGAAGCAATATGTCTCTGTTTTTCCTTCCAAGAAGTTTTTCTTCTGCCCTGTAATCCAGGGTCCTCCGTCAGACCTATCCTATTCCATAGAGCTGTCAGTGTGCTGGAACGCAGTCCAGATGTATTTGCCAGTGCGAGTCACTTTAGTGGCTCTCATGTTGAGCAAAGTTTGTGAGTCCACCTCTCTGGGCACAGTGGTCAACACAATGCCCCTGGGAAACAAGGATGGCACACAGGTGAATCACCTTGCTGTGAACTTCAGCATCACATGAACTTCTATGGTCTTAATACCCTCCAAGCTAAAGTAAAACATTTTCTGTCCCGTAAAAATCTAAAGTATTGTGCTCCCGTGAATGAATGATCAGAAATACAATTGAGATGGACTGATATGCGCCTCCTTACACAGATGATGGCCCTGTACAGCATACTGGCACCTCTGCCCTGCCCTTCACTCCCACAAATGGCAGACACTGGGCCAGACTATGTTCCCCCGCTCCAGGGCCTGTTTCCTGCTCCAGGCTGGTGTCTCTGTCAGTGGCAGAATGTGACGCCCAGCATCTACACGTCTACCATTAATGTGGGGTATGTGGCTGACCAACACAGTTGGCCTACCTTTTGCTATAAAACCAGTAAAATATTACTGGCCCATTTTCTCTTTGCACAGGGATGTTAATGAGACCCTACAGATATGGTCAGGACCGTCTGTTCACCCTGGCACCCATGCTGTAAACCAAGCCCCCACTGTGGCTCTGCCGCCTCCTCTCAGGTACGACATGCTAATAAAACATTATCAGTTTTTCTGCAGGTCCTACTGACAGACACATAGTATACAGCCCACTCTACATATGCTATACAATAACTTACCCTTAAACAGGTCTTTAAATATCCACCAGGATACTTATTTGTAGCGCAGATGTTTGCAGACAGCAGCACGAGGCCAATGTCTCTGTACCTCTTTGACAGGGTCAGTACAGGATGCGCTCGCCATATTGCCCTGAGTGTGAAAGACGCAGACGGTGACCAGGTCTGCTGTCGCTTTGCGGAAACAGCGCCCACATTCCTGCAGCTCAGTCAGGTGAGCAGGGGGAGCTCTGTGATGTTCAGGGCACTCTGGTGTCAGGATCTTCAAAATGTCTTTCGTTTCATGCCTAATCTCGCCCTCGTATACTCCTCTTCTCCCAAGGTTTCACCACTCCAGTCCCTTAAAGCTCACTCATTTCCTCTTCTTTTGGCAGGACTGTCTGCTGTCTTACAGTGGAGGGGGGGATCAGGGTCAATATGAAGTGAAGATTACAGTGGAAGATTTCCCCAAAACTGGCCTTGAAGGCATCCATGACAATACTACAGCGCTGAGCGCCACTCCCCTCCACCTGTCCATCACAGGTATTACGCCCCTGAGTTTGCGATTCAAGGGATCAAAGTTTTATTATGAAGTGTACGGTGTAGGTCACTGGTATTTTCCATACATACTACACGCTGAGTAAAGAAGTGCTTTCTCAAATCCATTTTAAAATGTTCTCCTGCTAATTTCCACCTATGGCCACCAGTTCTAGTATTTAAACTAATATTGAAGTAGCCATTTGGCTGAACAGCATCCAGACCCGTTACAATCTTATATACCTGGATCATGTTCCCCCTTAGTCTCCTTTGCATGAGGCTAAACAGATTCAGCTTAGCTAACCTCTCCTCATAAGACCAGGAATCATTCTTGTAGCCCTACATTGCACCCTTTCCAAGGCAGCAATGTCCTTTTTAAGGTATGGTGACCAAACCTGCACACAATATTCTAGGTGGGGTCTTACCAAGGAATTACATAATCGTAGCATCACCTCCCTTGACTTAAATTCCACAACCTAGAGATGTAACCCAACATCCTATTGGCCTTTTTTTATTGCTTCCCCACATTGGCGAGAGTGGGACATGGAAGCATCAACATACATACCGAGGTCTTTCTCATAATCAGCTACCTTTATTTCAGTGGAACCATATCTGTACTTTATATTTCTGCTCCCTGCATGGATTACCTTTCATTTATCTGTGTTAAATTTCATCTGCCAGGTATCAGCCCAGTCGCTAATTAAATCAAGATCCCGTTGTAGCCTCTGTGCTGCTAGATCAGTATCTGCTACACCACCCACCTTAGTTTTGTCTGCTAATTTGACCAGTTTACTGTTTGTATTGGTGTCAATATCATTAATGTAAATTAGGAACAATAGTGGCCCTAAAATTGAACCCTGCGGTACCCCACTATGAAAGCAGGCCCACTGTAACTACCCGCTGCTTCCTGTCAGTTAACCAGTTTTCGATCCAAGCTGCTACAGTTCCTAAAATCCATGCAGCTTTGAGCTTAAGTAAGAGCCGTTTGTGGGGGACAACATCAAAGGCCTTCTGGAAATCTAAGTAAATCACATCATAGGCCTTTTTTTGATCAATTGTTAAGAGACAACTTAAGGTAGAACTTGCAAGCGATGTAGCATTAAGAATGTTTCGGGAAACGCACCCCAGGATTTACAATTGGGCTGAGTCACTCGTAAGTGGGGAGAAAGGTAAAGTTGCCCAGACACGACACTGTCAATCTTCAGGCAAATCCCCCACCCCCGGTTATTTATTGTCAGGGTTGGACCTGCACTGAATATCGGTACATGCAATCTTGGTGGTAATGTCAATAGCAGTTATAAATGCAGTTAATTGTTCAGCCTTTATTATGTGCAGAAGTGGATAGTTCAGGTCCAGAAAGTAAAAACCAGTCCAAGAACTATCCACCTTCTGAGTATGGGTGGGAGGTGAGGAAGCATATAGGATGCTATAATTGTTCAATGCTGGCCATGTTTTGTCTTGAATCATAAATGAATCCGCATTGTCATCGATATGTCAGATCCTCCACTGTGTCTGTTTTGTTTTTTGAAAGAAGAAGGAGGGGTTTGTAGAGGGGGGGTTTGTAGAGGAGGGGTTTGTAGAGGGGGGGTTTGTAGAGGAGGGGTTTGTAGAGGGGTTCATTAACTATCATCAACAGCAATACAAATAATAAAATTAAAACCAAGTTTTTTTTAAAGAAAATATTTAATTGAAGAATATTGTTTGTATGTTCAACTTTTGGCTCTTTGTGTTTTTTTATATATCCTTAACATGTAGTGATATTTCTTTGGGGTATTTATATATGGGCTTGGGTCCCAGGCAGATGACAAATGTCCCTTTTGAGTCCCCAGGTGAAGAAGTTTGGGAACCCCTGCCTTAAATGGATTCCATAAGGCAGAAATGATACATTAAAAGCAATCTATCCATTTCAATGAAAAATAAAAAAAAACATGATATTGATAAAATGTGTGGAACATTTGGATACATGGAGAACTTTTGAAAAGTTACCGGAATGTGTTTAATTTCACTCACAGTCTTTGTTTATCTTGTACAGTTGTACATGTGAGTGTACCCCTATAAGAATGTAGTCTAACTGCCTCTCTGTCTTTCAGTGACAGCTGGGCTGGGACCCTGCACAGCCGTTCCTGTATTTACAGAACAAACTCCGCCAGATGGGTTTCAGTTCACAGTGTTGCCCTTTGAGGAAATCAACATAACAGTCACTGCTCAGTTAGAAACTGATGTGTGAGGAAAGACACTCTCATCGCTATTCATTTAATCTCATTCTTAATTCTGAATGGTGCTCGCATTTAAACAGTTAAAGATCATCCAAAAGGTGTCCAGAAATATCACTGATACATTCAGCAATGTAAACAATTTTAAGAATCGTGTATATTACTCTGTACTTGTATATGTTATAAATGCATATAAATGTAACTCGAGCTGCTGTTTACAATATCTTTATGTGTATGTTCATCTCCCTTATTTTTTCAGCGTCTCAGAGATAGCTGTTGTTGGTCCTCCTGGCCTCTGGGTGTCGCCACTTGAAAGTGGTAAGAATGCAGGTGCTGAGGCATCGATCAATATCATCTGGGTCAGAGCCCCAAATCAGCTCCCTCAGCTGCTACCTCTCTGTTTTACTGCAAATACTGAGAGGTATGACACCATCTTAACTGTTTTTTATATTTACTGGGTAGCTCCTTTCATTGCATTAATTCTGTTAACATGGTAGTATTAATATTTTATATTAAAGTAAAATTAAAAATGAACAAACCTTTGTTTCTGTGATCAGCTCACAGTCTGACATCAGATGTATATGGATTGACCAAAGTAAGAGAATCTCTATTGTATTTTTTATTTGTTTGGCATGACTTTTTATTTGATCTCCACTCATCGATGAATTCTGATGAAAAACAGTTTTATTGAAATATAAATGATGACTAATCACACTAACCATCTCCTTCTGGTTTCCATCTCTGTTAGAGCCTATGGATATTTTACCCAGTGGCACAGGTACCCAAAGCACCAGTTTTACTTTACACTGAATCACCCTCAATGTGTATTTACTAGGAAAATACTTAGATTATTACAACCTGTACATTTATATCACAGCTATTGCCTTCCTTTACTTGTATACTTATCAGCTGTACAATATGAACTTGCTGCTCATAGATGGTGAAAATGTCTTTCCATCTCCATACAGTGCTGCTTTGCTTGAAAAAGGAAATGCATCTTATACTTCCAGTGACTTCTCTCCCTCACCTTTCATTTACGGACCTTCAACTCAATCATCCATCCTGCCCCATTTCCTACAACGACACCCATGTGACAGCAGTGATCTCTTTGACAGGATGCGGTACCAAAGTTGTGGTAGAATCACTGTTTCTTTTTTGTGTGATAAAGACATCTTGAGCTTCCTGACAATCTGCGCAAACGTCTCAAAGGGTGTCAAAATAGTTTGATGTAAAAAATACTAAAGTTTGCCAGTATGGCCCAGTGGGGAGTATTTTTGCCTTGCACATTTGTAGTTATAAAATCAGATCATCTAGGTCTGTCTGTCTGTATGCAAAGGCTGCACTGTTTGTGAACTTATGGCTTTAAGCTGCTATCAGTGTGTGATGGCACAAGCACGTGTGATGTGATGGACTGATATCCAGTCCAGGGAGTCCTCTGCTTCATATCTCATGATTCCATATAAGAAACTGACTCATACTTGGCAACTAACATTTTGTCATCTCAATATAGTTACTGTTGAATGTCAGACATCATTTTATTTCACTGTTCTCCTCATGCTTGCATGGTGTGTCTTCATATCCCCGCAGCACTCAGGCTCAGAGCTGATTTACACAAATACATTACAGACTGTGCATCCTCTGTCTACCATCAGCCGCCATCCCTCATTTGTTCTCTCGCTGGCCTGTCGCTTCCGTGAGAGTCTGGTCAGAGATAACCCCCAGCTCGTAAGCCTACCATCAGAGAAGGAGACCTTCGGCATTCCTCATTTCAGCATGGAGTTCTACAGACCTGGTGAAGGGCCCCTGAGTTTGGGGACAAAGATGAAGACCCGTAAGCGAAGAGCCGGGGCCTCTGTCCAGCGTGCAGGCAGGGTGGATGTCCTGGACATGTATGTCTACTCCAATAGCACCGTGGGCCATGCTGAGCTGATTGTGGGGACGTGTGTTCTGTCGAGCACAGCTACATTTGAAGTCACTCAACCCATTATAGAGGAAGGGTTAGTATGCCTGCTTATTTCCAGCTAAAAACATTTGCTGTCACAAGTAACACGATTTACTCAGTACAACCATGCACTTGTCTCATTCACTTATATGGATATTTATTAACAACTGGAATTTACATGTAGAAATATACATTTATAGTATCCAGTAAATATTTGCCAAGTCTTACAGATTGTTTAGGGGAGTGGGAATGACATATGGGTTTCTTGGGGAGTAAAGGTTTCCAAGATTCAGAGGCTCGATTAGTCTTTGGTGGTGTGTTAAACAAAAGAAATCTGGAAAGACGATTTTAATTAGGCTAGTTTATGAATGAAACAGGGATGCTGCTAGAAATTTTGGACCCAATGAAAGCATAGCATATTGGGCCCCTAAACCAGACCAATCCAATTATGTTCCACATTTTTTAGAATCCATCCTGACTTTCCCTCTTTATGGCACCCCTGAGATCGTTTTATTTGCCATCTATTTGGGGACTTTTCACATGCACATACTGCATCATCCCACATTCCTCATAAACCACACTAATGGATAAACACTTATAATGCCTGTTTTTCTCTCAGCTGCATGAATAACAGTGGAATAATGGAATTGGCATCCAGTGACCCCAAAGTGAATATATACGAAATGAACTTAGCTTCCTTCAACATAGAAGGAACGGTGGTATGTTTTTTTTCTTGATTTTCTTTGTTCTAATTCACAAAATGCTACCAATTCCCAATATTTTTTTTTTTTTACATTCTAACCGTATTTTTTACATCTGATCTCAAAAGCACTGAAAATTTATTGTTTGAAAAAACTAAGATTTAAAAAAGACACAAAAAAATCAAGTTATGTCTCTGATCGTCAGTTATAATCTTAGCAATACGGAACTGAAACAACACAGTACAATACACATTTACCTAAATCTGCATAAATAGGGCTAAAAAAATCGGTAAAAATCCATCGTGACATACAGTGGTACAGTACCTCAGAACTTGGTACCGTTCAGAACTCCAGATCGAATCCTAAAAAGTTCGAGTTGTGATCGAATTTTCCCCATAAGTAATAATTGAAAACCAATTAATTGGTTCCTGGCCCTAAAAAAATACAGCCAAATATGTTTTTTTAAGCATTTAAACACAAAATGAATCGGATAAAACAAGAAGAGCATATACTGTACTAAACACATCTAAGCACATTTATCAAAACAGTCATTTGTAGAGTAAGGAAATAAATCTATCCAAACAATGTGTACAGTTAAAAAAAACAAAGTGTCCTGCCCCGATCGTCCGCTCCTTCCGTGTGCCACGCCCCCTTGTTAGCCCCGCGTGGAATCCCCGCTCGGCACAACAATATTATTATAATTAAACGTATTAATGGTTTATTATTATTATTAAAATAATGAATAAGAAATCTTTATTTTTAAGTGTATTTTATTATATAATAATAATTACCGTTACTGTTTATCATTGTCTAAATGTATTTTTACTGTCTAAATATATGTATTCAGTTAGTGTAAACATGCACGATGCTATCACAGCGAATGCGAGGCTGAGACTGAAGCTTTACCCTTTGTTTCCGCTGAGAGACGTGCCGCGTGACTCATTTCCCTGCGCATGCAAGTTATCTTAGGTCGGCGTTCACTGTTTTACTTCTGAGATTCAGAGTTCTAGGTAATTTTTTTTAGAACTGGTTGGTTCGACTTTTAAGAAATTAGAGTTCTAATGAGTTTGAGAACTGAGGTACCACTGTACTTTACAGCTGCGCGTTTCAGGTATACATAAATGTACATCTTGTGTTACTTTCTTGTGATAGCCTACCCCAACCCTCACTCCAACCCTCTATGTTTTCCCCTAGATGTATGTAAGGTGTGTGGTACATCTGTGTATCAGCATTCTGGCCTCTCAGACCTGCCCATCACTTTGTAAACAAGCCAAGCAGGACGTTTTGCTTGACACCCTGGTGACCCGCGACTACACCATCTACTCAGCCCCCATCTCATTGGTCAACTCCCCATCTACACAAAGTCCTGCCATCACACCAGTAAATGCTGTGCCTGTGACCCAGGCCATAACCAGCACAAAGACCACCATGCTGTCACATGGTAAGCAATACTCGAACATTAACGCTAACCTGAGCACAAATAGGTTCAATCAATACTCATTCCTCCCAGGCTGGGAGCTTAAATCTCGACTTCTTCCCTCTTTGTGTGTAGAGTTTTTTTCCCCTTTGTCCAAGGACATGCACTTAAGCTAAACACTCTAAACTATGGAGCAGATTTTGTGTCAGCTTGAATCAATCAATTCAATGTATTGTATAACATTGCGCAGCATACAGAAACCGTGCTATGTGGAAATGTGATGAACAAGAGACATTGCATTTCAGTCAGTGTCGTGAAAAGAACATGCCACAATGAACAATAAAACAATCATTTCACTGATTTGCATCTTGCTCTATTACCATCCATAAAAACAACTACAAGGGTGTACATTATAGACAATTTATAGATGAAATTGTGCCACATCACACCAAAGTGCAATGGCCATCTTTGCTCTGCTGCATCAGCTCATTTTCATTTTTGAAAAGTATATGCTGAAATCTTGCCACCAGGAAATGTAATCACTATCTAATCACAGCTCTCTATCAAGTGGGGGGGCATGGTCTCAGAAAACAGACTAGGACAATCGCTTAAGATCTAATCGATGAGGCCACAGCCACTGCACCCCAGCTGTGCCCGTTAATGGGCTACTACCTCACTTCAGAATGTCTTTTAGAGCAACATTTAGGCAAGAAATATCCTCTCTTCTTGAGGAGGTAGAAAGTGACACTGAGAGGAATTTGTAATTAAATTAGACTGGCTCCTAGAACACTTGCAACAGGTGGCGGCTGTAACTGGTCAAGATTTCCAGGACACCACAGTAGCTCTCATGTTTGTTCTGGAGCAGTTTCAAATGAGTGTTCCGTCCACCACACCAGGTATTTTACTTTCTTGGAGAACCAAAAGTACTACAAGGTGCTGGTTTTCCACTGGCATAAAAACTGGTACTGGTGCTGACTGACATGACAACACGGGGCGGGGTATTTTGCACTGAATTCAAAAAATGGCTGTAGTATTTTATAGGGCTGGATGTTGTGCGATATTAATACCAACATTGCATGTTATGCACATGCAATTCTTACATCGCTAGTGAGCTAGATTAAGATCAGGCTTTTTCTTACTTTCAGGTCAAAGAGACAGTGAGCACAGAAGCCCCAGTTTATACATGTATCCACTGAATGTCCCATCTGTCTTGCAGCTCCAGCAGGGAACCCGGTCAGTGTCACCATCATAGCTCTGGCAACGATTTGCATGCTTCTTACTGAGTGACCTTGTCTCAGCTGCCCAGTAAGTACATGTCCTGTTGGTCTTTTTCTCAACTGTTATTGAAGAATTAATGGTATTTTTCCCCATCTGAGGCCAAAAAACAGTTAGCATATAGACCGAATTAAATACTCATATTAAAGAATACCTTACAATGTATGCATGTGTTAAACATGAGGCATCAACAGAACAATACTGTCTAAAGATTACTAATATACATTGTCAGCAAGGTATTTCCTTTATGGCAGTAAGAACAAAAAAAGAACAAACTGAAGTCACTGCATTGAAATCAATAATAAATGTCCTTACAATATATATGCTTATACCATGACTTTTAATGTTTTATTAAACATGATGACACACTGCCCGGCCAAAGTCGTCATTTGAATTTTTTGTTGGACTGCTTTTGCTTTGATTATGGCACACATTTGTCATGGCACTGTTTCCAAAGATTTCAAAAGAAGGATTGGATGTTACAATCCCTATTGTTTTGGCACTACAATTCTCTGGGTCGTTTGTAGATGGCCACCAGGCCACTTTCAGACCACGAGGACACATTATCAGTTGCGCACCTCTGCATTGTTGGGTATTTCGGCCTTTTAAGGCAGCCTCTGCTGAGGCAGGGCCCATCACAGCCTGATCAGACCTGGGTCTGTGTCTCGTGGACAGCTGGTCACCATGGCAATCAAAACCGCCTCTTTATTATAGCTTCCAGAGGCATGTTCTTATAGAGCCTGTATTAAATGCCGTTGGGCCCAGGAGCTGAAGCTGATCTTGCCTGTTTTATAATACTCTCCACCTTGCTCCATGTGGGGGGCCTTGTATGCATGTGGTATTCAGGCGGATGAATTGGTGGCATGCCGTCCAGGATGGCGACTGCTTCACGCCTCCAGTCGTCAGAGTAGGTCTTCCTCAGGTGCTCCTCCAGGACTGCTATGGGTATTCTTTTCCACGCTAAAGAGGCTTTTAACTAAGTTGCAGGAATCCCTGTAGAAGCAGCCTGCAGTGCATCAGTACCTTCCCTTTTTACCTGTGCCCTTCCTTCACTGCTTTCTCAGTCGTCTTTATTCCCTCACTAGTCTATCAATCTCCCGCTGCCTCCTGGACTTGGGTTGGGTTGGGTTGTAGAACCTTTCTGCATTCTCTTTGTGTTCATTTACCTCAAATCTCTCTATGCCATAGTTATAAATGATAGTTCCTATTTTCTCCAGCTTTCTTTCCACTGCTCCCTTCTAGCAAGTGGACGAGGTCTGTGTCGATGGTCTCCCACTCCCTCTTCTGGCTGGATTTGGGCCACAGGCATTCTCACCCTGGAATATACCCATGCCTTTAGGGAAGAAAAAATCCATTGATTCTGGATAGAGGTATAACCTGGTCATTCAGTAGATTCAGGTACTCAGCTGGCTTCACCTTATTGCTGCATAATTTAGCTGAGCTGAAATAATGATCCAGTCTTAGTTTTAATTATTTGCTAATTTAAATTCAAATGGTGACCTTTTTTGCCCGGGCAGTGTATTAAAAACCAGTGACTCTTTACTCTGTTGATGGGTTTCTATGGTAACTTAAGATTTGCTGCTTCCAGTGAGCAGCCTGTCCAGACGTTCTATCCTTATAGGGATTACATTTTTAAGAACATATTGGAACATTTTAAAATGATAATTATAATAATTTTCTTCTGAAAAATTAACCAACACTAGTTTATTGTATTATTATTTTTTTGTTCGTTAGCCATGGTATAAGCGGGATAATTTATGGCTGCACAGGCAAAGAATCTCTCCACACTTACACCACTGTTACTGCACATTGGCTTAAACGTTCGTACTTTTTTTTCCAAGTCTGTACATTATTTTCACATTTATAAGCCAAAAACGCTTCAGATCATCTACTAATATTTCAGCAATAACTTTGCATGGATATGTAATCCCAAACTTTTTTGAACTTTATTGTCACAGGATTAGGAATTAAATAGGAAATTTCAAACTCATGGCTGGCCTTTGGGTTTAACAACAGAAATTTTTCAAATTAACAATGGTGGCTTGGATCACGTCTAAAAAAAAATGTTTAACCACTGGTCAAAGAAATTAGCTTTGCTAATATTTTCAGCTTCAAAACATAAAAACAATGTTGTTTCATACAAATGTGTAAGCCGAACGTGTAGTGACTGGAATAGCGCTCTCCGTGTTTTGCATTATATGTTTTTAAACACACCCCTCTGTGCAATAGGTGGCTCTTTGCTTCAGCTGATGTGCATTTAAAAATGTCTAATACATGGTTTACCATCCATTAACTGTTACATAACATCTGGACAAATGTTATTGCTTAGAAATGAAAAATTACACACCAAAGTAAGACTTTTTCTTTCTTATATGCTGGTAATTTTACATCACGCATGTTCTTTTATTGCACTCTTTCAGACATGTGCCCCAGCCAATCCTGAACAGGAAACCATCTTGCACCAATCTTTCAGTTATACATTTTATGTTCTTGCAAAAATCTGTAACTATTCTACACTGGTCATAATATTATTTATAATTGTCAGTATCAGCCCAACATATTATGACTCGAGTTAATTGGGGAGGTTTAATGAATAAAATTAAAGGTTCTTAAAAGTCATTGTTTATCCTGCCTTGTACCTATACCAAAATATTGCACTTTAGAATTAAGGCATGGCACTTCAGTGAGTGGGTCTACGGCTCTCCTGGGTTGCATGTTCAGTTCCCACCCATGGCTGTGTGTGTGTGGATTCGGTTTATATTACGTTGTGGGGACCAAATGTACCCACATTGTGATATAAACATGTTACTTTTGACATTGTGGGGACCATTTTTCAGGTTTTCTGAGAATTAGAAAAAGCTAAAAAAGCCTCCTATTTTGTTTGGTTGCTTATAGTTAAGGTTAGGGCTGGGTAGGGGTTAAGGTCGTTTCCCCCATAGAAATGAATGGAGAGTCCCTTCAAACATACAGTATAACTACAAACCTGTGTGTGCGTGTCTTGTGATGGACTGGCATCCTGTTCATAGTGTCCTCCACCCTGTGCTTCCTGGAATAAGTTCACCGTGACCCTCTGCTAGGTAAACAGTTAACGAAGCTGGATGAATATAAATATAGGCCTAACAAAAAAATGATCTATTAAAAAGTGTAGGAGAGTGTAGGAGAAATAAACAATGAAGATTTTCTATACTGTGTAAATCAGAAAAGTAATCATTTTAACTGAGACAAAATCCATCAGTTGTCTAGATCTATTTCTGGAAGATCCATAGCAAATGAGAGCAGATGTTCTGACAGCAGACAGCCGCGGTGACAGATGGATAAATACACAGGAAATTCGAACCGGAGCAGAAATAGAGCGGTGCTCCACACAGTCGCTGTTACTTCCTGAAAACCAAACCAAGAGACAGCATTGTCATTAGTCATGCTGCAGAACAAGCCGAAAGCACATTTTGGTAGCATAACCTGACATTTTAAAGATTCAGTTCTTTATTGTCATTGTACATGACAATATAATGAGATTGTAATTCTGCCCTGTGATTCATGTTTGACACCAAACCAAAAACAATGCTGGTGTGTTCATAATACTGTCAATAAAACAGGGTGCAGTGCTTGGGAGATGTTCCCGATCCGGGTAGCAATTTCCTGTTCTCCATTTTCTATATACTGTCAACAGTGGTGTATTTGATATAATTTGTAAACATTTCTAAAATCGATCAAAGTAACTGCACAGTTTTCTGTGATTAATCATTATTGCACCTAAAATTAAAACTTAAAATCATAAATATTTACAGACTGAATCCTTTAATTAATGTAGAGCTAACACATCACAGATACGGGTTTCACAAAGTCATTACTGCAACACAGCAATATTGTCTCATTTTTAATATTAGTTTGAAAACAGAATCAAAATTATACAACTTCATTGTATAACTGTTTTATTAGGGCCCATGCATTGTAGGGACGTAGGCACGTATTGTAATCAGTTTGCTGTAGGGACGTAGGCACCTATTGTAATAATATTATTATTATTGTTATTGTTGTTATTATTATTATACCTTCTGCCATGGGTGTCTATGGCAGTCCATAGAAAAGATTGGTGACTTTTTTTTTTATTTTGCACATTGATAGAGGACAGTTCAAACTATTCAAACACCAAATTTGGGGTCAATCCATCCATCCTTGTAGCGCCTCCATCAGGCCTTATGAAGCATCTGAATTTTTCCAAAAACCTACTTTTGTGAAATCATCTAATGAATTTGATGACAAAGCCACCAAACAGGATGTGAGGCCACATTTCTGAAAGCTTTGATTTGTCAAAACCAAATTTGGAATTTGGACTTGAGACCCAATTCTGAGCAAGCTCAACAGAAAGGGTGTCATTCCACTACCAAAGAGTGCTGCAATACATAATAATACCTTTTGGCTAATAACTGTTGAAGGGTTTGACATAGAAAAACTATTCTTATGTTGCCTGACACCATGGGAGGAGCCCAGTCTGAAACATTGGAAATTTCATGTCCACCTAATTGATACAGCCACCATATTGGATTCAATCAAAAATTTTCCACAGGCCAAAATGTTGTCCAATCTTCACCAAATTTGTCAGAGACCTTCGTCCTAAGGCTCCTAAGAGGTATCAGAGGGATTTTTGATTGCCGAAGGCATTTGTCTGTCACTGCCAAATGAAATTGGCAGCAAAGCTGCCAATCAGGATGTGTGACCATATCTCAGCAATACTTTGACGTTTTGAAACCAAATTTAGGACTTTTACTTGGGGACAGAGCCTGGGGATGTGCACAAAATGTAGTCTCATTTGACCACTGGGGGAGGGGGGCCTACAATGAGCACAAACCCGTGTTAGCTAATACATTTTGATATTTTGGCCATATAAAAATGGTTGTTATGACCGGGGATTGTCAGCATTGGTCCCTGCCAGTGCCATTATGTCCCTGTTTTGCCAGCAATTTTTGCTGCCCTTCCTATATGCTCCCATATGGTCCCACAAAGCCTCTGGTACCTAGTTAGTCTCCATATCACTCTTAGGTACAACTTAAAAATGTGTCTCAGTACTCAGTATGTCAGTATGTCACTTCCCATACTTGATCTGCTGGTGTTGCAGGTTTTCTTGAAAAATTCCTTCAATATGTTAGTTTGTGGTATATTTTCTATGTTCCCATGATCTTGTATTTCCTGTTTTTGAATTTCTTTCCATCCCATCTATGCCTTGGATGTGTGCTTGGCCCCATTATTGTTGCTTGCAGCTATATTTATAATTATTTCTGTAATTAACAAAATCATTTAATGTAATCCAGGGGAAGAGTTACGAAGATGAGAGAAAGTGACAGAAATAACCAAAAAATTAGCAGAAATATACATCTTATCATACAAATCTATTGTTTATTGTAGGTCACTTGCAATAAAGTTGAAAGATTTAAATATATTTTTTCTAGTTTTGTGTTCTTTAATTTTTGTGTACCTACTTGGGGGATATATTGGCCTTATTTTTGAGAAGCATTTCATGAATAATATAAGGACTAAGGAATAGTCAAAGGATGCACAAACTTATTTTGAATTTAAAATATGACACTTACAAAACATCACATTTGTCAATCTAAGCCATCTTATACCTAATACAATTCCAACAAATTCTTGTAAAACAAGGTGAAAATTATGACAACATGTTTATAAATAGACACTTTAATTTTTCTTTCTTGGTAGTTTACTTCCAATTTCATCTGCTGCAAACCCCAGATTACAAAGTATGAATAGGTTTCTTATCCCAGGACTGTCCGGAGTTGAAAAAAATGCAAGTAACTTTGGTCAAGTGGGACCATCCTGACTGTGACATTACCAGCAGGGATCTTTTAAATGCTGACACTGGAAATACTATAGTTTTTTTTTTTTTTTACTTTTCTGAATTGGCATTGCATATGTGGAATACTTTTATTTTGACACTCCTTTCCAGATGTGGGAGTGAATGCCCCAACATTCCATAAAAAGAAGACAAAGAAATAGAGGGGAATAACCAAAGGAGAGTTTGTTGGTGACACACTGGGAGAGGAAAAGGTTTCATCTCAGGCCAGGCCTGAGAGAAAACCATTGGTTACAGTTTTGTTCATATTCTGCATACAGACCATGAAGTCACTTACCTTCCATTAAAAAGTATAATGAGGTTGTTTACTGCGGCCCAAGTGGACTGTTGGTTCTGACCCGTGACCAGGTGTCTATCTAGAACCACATGGACTGCATCCTCTGTGCTGGCTGTGAAATGTGACACATTCATACCGTCAAATTTATTGTCACAAAAGTTAGCAGTGCATTGCTTTTATTTATCTTAACTGTGGCACTACAAAGGAACCATCACTTTAAAACCAACACTTACTATGTTTACTCTTGAAACGGCTCAACTGATACTCACAGGAAGATTGACTCACCAGTGTAAGAGCCACCACTGTCCTTCACAAAGTCTTCCACTATAAGTGGCAGCTTGGCAAAGTCAGTCTGCCGCACTAACTCAAACACAGATGGCTGAAAAAGACAGCAGAACATGTAACAGTAACAAACTACACTTAAGAGTTATTTAAAAATAAATGTTATTTGAGACAGGAAAGGGGAATTAATTTGGAGAAACCAGTTAAATTCCAAAATGTGAAATCATCCTAAAATTCAGATTTTTTTTAATGTTTAATTTCACAGTGCAAAGAACAAATTTTCAGGGTAAATATTCTTGTCCTTAAAAAAGATCTGAATTGATCTGATAGCTCTGGAGCCATAAGCCAGCCTGTCTCAGACATCCAATATCACGTACCCCCGTCAGGCTGTAGCCACTGAAGATCCAGCGCTGTCCCTCAGTGGCACAGCACAGTGCAGACACCCCATGGCCCACTGCACACACTGGTTCTAAGGTATGAGGTAACACACTGTAATACACATGCCACCAGTACAAGAACCTCATACCCTCAACATGCTTCTAAGCATTACAAAGCATTACACACTCAGTGAATTTAGAAGCCAAAGCATGACTGTTATATATTGTTAATGATTTTGAAGTGCATATTGTCTGGGTTCAGGAAATCCTAGACCATAGTACTCACTTTGCTGGGATGTGAAATGAGCAAGAATGCGAGCCAGTGATCCACTATGTGCCAGGTCACTGAGGGCACCAGGGCAGTCAGGGATCAGCAAGGCCTGATAACGTGCTCCTGCCAAACAAACCATACAACATATCCAATGTATATTAATTTTTAATAAGGATATCACCTTTTTCATACCTCTGTATATAACGTGCTACATAACCTTGAGTATCATGTTGTAAAACACTATGTATGAATATTAATGCAAAAAATACAATGTTTACCATCTATGGACTCCAATTTTGCTGGGTTGGCGTATGGCTTCGCACTGAATTCCTGAATCCATCTGGATGAGCTATCATCCACCCCAACAAAGTCAATAGATTTTCCCTGTAACCAAACGAAATGAAAAGCTAACATTTAGTGCTGCGTGATGTATCATTTCAGCATCATCACTGTGATGTGCGTAAAAATCATATCGCATTTGACAGCACTGCTTCGTGTCTATTGAGACAGCTTGTGGCAACACCAACTTTTTTGACACACTCTTTTGGTAGACAATAAGTTCAGTTTGCTACAGTTTATGTTGCATAATTTCTTCTCCTTTTTTGTTTTATAAATATCACAATATTACTTGTAGAAATTTCACGTATCGCAATGTGATATTGTGATGTGATAACATGCAGCCATACTAATACTATTTTGTCATATATGTGGAAGTAAAATTGGACATTAGTAGGGGAGGCATATTGGGTCTGTTATGTTTTAGGCCTTAGGCCAGAAGAGATTGTTTTGAATACTATGTGACCTCGCTTTGTGATAGCTGCCTGCA